TTTTTAGAAACAGTCTACCACAAGCATCATCCTGGGTTAATTAGGTCTTCTTTAGCATATGCTTCTATGAAGGGCACACTATGACCACTCTACTGTAGTCTTGGCTCACTACAATGAAAAGATGGGATTATCTATGTTGGAGGTGTTGAAAAGACTTAGACACATAGCCCTGCACTGAGATCTTGGAACTTATGAAATAGAGCCCTATAGGATTGAAGGGCAGACTGGAGCAAAAACACTATGAACAAGGACAAAGAGGCAAAGAAGTACACAGAGCATGAAAGGAAGTAAAGTGTTTATGTTTACTCTAGTCTCAATATGTTCTGGGGAAGAGATGGAAATAAAGCTGATGACGGAGTTTCAGGTTTGAACTATGAATACCAGGCCAAGGAGTTGGACAGTAGGAAGGCTTTGGAGCAAAGATGTGTTATCGGAACTCTACAGATGAAAAATTGCTTTGGCAGTAATTCAGAATGGATTTAGGGGGAGAGAGAACAGAGGCAAGGAATTCAGGGAAATGTAGCATAGCTGTTCAGTGGAAATTAAAGAGAGCCAAAACTAAGGTGGTGGTCATTGGAAGATCAAAGGGGCAGAGTATATGGAACAAAATCATAGAAGTAAAATTTATAGAACTTGATATAGTAAAATCAATGAAACAGCCAGTAATAAGTCCAAGACTTCTATTCTGAATGGGAAAATGGTGTTACTAAGTAGGAATGTGGTAAAAGAGCAAACTCAGAACAGGAAATGATGAGGTTGGATATGTTACTGTGCTGAGTCTTCTATTGGACTGTAAACTCTATAGACAGAGAGATTGTCCAGTCAACACATTGAAATGGGGTTTATGTTTATGTTGGGGGATGGAAATAAAGATTGGGATATCATCCATGAAGAGGTGACCACAATGAGGTGAGGAGAAATCTTATCAAAAGAAGTGAATTAAGGAAATAATCTTTACAAGCACTTGTATTGTACTGAATAAGGGTGGCAGAGTCCCAGAAGAATGAAGTGTTCTGCCAGCCTAGAGATCTGTAGTGTCTGCATTCATCTAGAACTCATGACTTTGCGATGAGATTTTTTTAAAGCATTTCTACTTCACATCCCTTTCAGTGGCTACTGTCTTTTCCTCAGGTCTATTCAGGATTCTTTACAAGATGTCATCCTGCTCTGCTGCTAATTGGATTTTAAAACAATTTTGTTCTTAACATCCAGTTTTCCATTCACAACGTGGAGTTCTAATTTTAGCCTTATTCAATATGCCCCTATTCTTTTTCAATTTTTTATCTTTATAGTACCTGTGGAGATTTCCCCACCCTGATGTAATTTTGAGAAGCTATTAGGACAGGGACCTTTCTTTTCCCATTCTTGAAAGCCTCACAGTGTTCTATACATGTGGGTATCCAGGAAATGTTTGTGTAAATCCATGGTTACCAACCAGTGGTCACAAGTTTTGTTTGTCTTGTACAGTGTTGGTCATTGCTTATGAAAAACTTGGAATTGGTTGCCAAAATTGGTTGCCGAATTTTGCAGATAAAACTCTACATTTTGGGCTTTTTTTGGCAAGTAGGTTGATGTGGCAACACTGGGCCCAAATTCCCATATGGTAACAGTTGGCTGGCATAGTATAGCAACTGCCCCTATAGAGGGATGGACTCTCCATTTCCCACAGTCCACACATGTGTCCTCTACATGAGAACTGGTATCAGTTGCTTTTATTAACTCACTTGCTCTATTTGTTTTTCTTATAGAAGTGCTAAGAAGGAAGTTAATATTTCATACATGCACATTTGTATACAAGATGACAAAATCAAAGCTACAGAGAAGGTCATGTGTTTTTCTCCAAAGATGCTGAACTTTGTTCATTTGTTGATTTGTTTAATATTTATTGAGTACCTGCCATATGAAGGCATTGTTGTAGATGCTGGTGATAAAAAGGGTGAGAAGGTTAAACAAAGGGGTCAGGGACCTTACATTTCTTAGCTAGGCTCTCTAGCCATTGCATTTATAAATATTGTTTATATAATGAAGGAAGGATGTCTTCAGTGTTAAAACCTACAGAAGGAGTGAGAGGAATGTGGTTTAAGAAGAGACCAGTGGATTCACCTCATAGCAAATGCTTTTAGAATGCATTAGGTAAGGAGTGAATGAATGGTGAAGATGTAGATATTCAGAGTATTCATTTAAAAAGTTTGGTTGACAGATGAGAGGATAACAATGGGGTAGAAAGGTTGGAGGAAGTTTTGTCTGATCTACAACAAGGGAAGATGTGTGTACATTTGTAAAGAAACAAGAGACCAGTGGGAAAGGACAGATTAAAGATTTAAAAGGAAGTTTTACCTGCTAAAATGAAAAATCACTAAAGAATGGGATATGAAAACACACAGAGAGATTACAGTATATCTTAGAATTGTAAGATGATGGACTCAACAAACAGGAAAATGCTGGAACTAAAGTGTTTCAGGGTGGAGAATTCTGCTGAAAAATGAATATACCTCACTGGACTCCTGAGACTCACATTAGGAGGGACCAGAGCCCTGCAGAGCTGGTGAGGCATATGTGTGTACTAAGCCAGAGAGCTTCCACACTGAGGGTAAACAGGATAGCAAGGGAGGAATGGGTATAGCTTTCCACATGAAAGAGAGACCAAGATGTCAAATAGGGAAAAGTAACCTGGATGAAGCAGAGATATTCAGAGATGCAGGAGTTAAATGACTACCTGACAAAGGAGTTCCTGGAAAGGAGTAAGAGAAAATAATAGAAAACATCTTCATAATGCACAAACCACATTGAAAAATGTACTCAATACAGTAAGTAAAAGAATAATGCCCAGGATAACAGCCTTGTCAAATTCCAAACATTTGAGATAAACTTCAGAGCTTCAAGGTAGGGTGTCAGAGAACAGAGGCAAGAAGTTGGAAGCAAAGTGGAGCCACTAGCTATTATTACACGTGGTAGAGGCACTGCTGTGGGGCTGGATGTAGTTTTGCTATAACTAGTTCAAAATTTCCATTTGGAAGTATGTTTAGTGTCACCTCTCAGCCCTACATGTGTTACCTTTCAGGGTTATATCTGCTCCCAAAGGGAAATGCCAATGATCAAAGAGTATTTATTTTTGTTTTGTTTAAGCAACATTACTTAAAGCAATACAGTAATTGTCATTAATAACTTAGTAAAATTTAATTTGATACTACAGACAGTCCAGAGAAAAATCCCATTGTTGACATTTTTTGATAAAAATTTTTGATGAAAAATTATTTGCTTATTGCTTACTTAAGAGTGGATACTGCCAGGTATCGAGGGGGTGGGGGGGAGAGGGAGGGGGTGGAGGCAGGGTGGAGAAATGATTCAAGCATTGTATGCACATATGAATAATAAAAAAATTTTTAAAAGTTAAAAAATTTAAAAAATAAAAATAAATTACGACATTCCACATCAAAAAAAAAGAGTGGATATAAAGTGAGGTTGAAATAAAGTTTCTTGCTTCTTTTTTTAAAAAACCTCCAGGAAAAGGTAGAGTGTATATAGGTGAATTTGTACACCCACAGATGGTCTTAGTAAAATGAAAGTACCATAAGTAAAAAAATGTATCTAAAGGTTAGCAATACAATATACTGCAGAGTATGGGTTGTTTATCCTCCTGATCACATAGCTGGCTGAGACCTGTGGCTCCCTGCCACTACCCAGTATCACAAAAAAGTATAATATATTACTGATCTCTAGCCCAGAAAAGATCAAAATTCAAAATAGTACTGTTTCTATTAAATGGTTATCATCACACCAAACACACCACTGTAAAGTCAAATGATCATTAAGTTAAACCATAATCTGGAGACTTGCTTGCTGTCTCCCTGTCTCTGCACACATATATGCACACACATATGTGTGCATATAAATATAATACATACATATGTGTATGTTCTTTTTAACCACATAAGTAAATTAAAACCTTAAGCAAGCACAGCTTTTTCTTATTTTTTCTGAATTCTCTACCACATGTGACTGTCTCTAACACAAAGAATAGAAAGAAAATTTCAGAATTCTCCATGAGAGTTGATTGTCAATTTCAGTAGTTGATTGTTAATTTCAGTAGAGCTGAGTGTAATATTCAGTTAGTAGTTACCATCTCAATGTATGGCATTTTACTTATATAAAACAACTTCTGGCAATATTTTTCCTAAAGAAAAGCAGGACTCCTATGTTGCAGTTTTCATATACTGTGAATATAAATATAAATCTCAGATCAGAGAAACACATTTCTCATTTTCTAATAAAAGTTAAATTCAGTGTATGTATATTGTGGACTTTTATTTGAGTTTCTTCATGATTTTAGTGGGACCAATATTTTAAAGTGAGATTGAGATAGAAGGATATTTGGATTGTCTTTAGATTTTATCTACTACCTAGAATGATTTTTAAAATTTTCCATAAGAATGCAAAATAAAGCTAAAACCTCCTTATTATATTTAGTGTTGTTATAAATTAGTACTCATAGATCAGTATTAGGAACTTGTTTGCAAGAGTATAATATGGTAAAAGTGCTTTGAAAAATTTGCATTTCCTCATCATCAGTGTTCTTTGAAATTCTTTGTACCTCTTTCTACCAACAAAATCCAGAAGTACTATTTATGTCCTTCATAAATCTCTGCTATTTGTCAGATTGCAGTGGATTCTAAAATTTTTCTCTGTTGGATCATCCCACTGAGTAAGAGTTTCACAACATTGTACTGTAGCCTATAAAATGAGTACATTTTTACATATGCCAAACTTTAACAACACTGTACCAGGTGATTATAAAAAGGGAGAGAATAAGAATAAAAATCACATAGGAAATATAAGCATGGCTGCTTCCATATTTCCATTAGGTAGATAAAAATGAATAGTAAATTACAAACTCATTGAGAAAAACTATGACTGAAATGTTACATGGAACTTCATACCTAAGTTCTCTTCTCTGGCCATTTTCAGTCTCCCCACAGTAGTTCTTTGTTTTCATTCCACAGTAAGATATTTCCCAATGGCCTTCCTGAGGAATATGCCATAGCAGCCATGTTTCGCGTACGAAGAAGCACCAAAAAGGAGCGGTGGTTTCTATGGCAGATTTTAAACCAACAGAATATGCCACAGGTAATGTGCTTATTAATTAATGTGCTTAATAATTACTCTTGTGTAATTAGGCCAGGTGAATCTTTGAACTATGTGCCCAAATTTGGGAGATATAGTGTGAAATATTCTGTGTTTTAGAAGAATCACCAATAGAGAAATGCATGTATTATAAATAGGTTAGTCTTGCTGAGATCTGTAACATGAGAGTCTGGCAGATGAGACAGGACTAGGTTCTTGGTTCTTTTTTAACTTAGAGATTCACATTTTCCTGAAGACACTGGAACTATTCTTCCTTTATAACTGTCTTATTGGCTAACTCTGCCTCACCAGTAACTTCACCTGTCATCTCTGGAATATATATTATTTTAAAAGTGATTCATTGTTTCACCTGACAGTCTTTCATGAATTAATAAGCTATTAATTTCATCAGTAAGATTTTAGGGAACACATTCTTTGTGTTAGGTAGTGACAAGAATAGGAGATTTAAAAACCAGAATTCCTGTCCTCAGGAAGCATAAAGCATAAGGGGGAGACATCTAGAACATTGTGCAGCACGATTTATGATGCAGTGGAAGATGCAATGGGAGAGGTAAGCTTGGTGTTGGCATTGGGCAGAATGAAGGACAGCTGAAGAAGGTAGCTCACCAGAAGTAGAGGATGGAGACAGGAGAGCAGGAATCTAGGAAAGTTATGGAAGAAATGCCATTTGGACTAGAAAATGGAAGAAGTACACCAGAGACCTTAAAGTTACTTATTAGCATCATGCATTTTATATTTACTTCTTTCCATATTCATGTTTTTTGCTGATCCTTTTGTCTGTTTCATGGTAAGGTTAATTGAATGAAATGTATTCTTTTGCCATGCCAGTTATCAAAGGTCAAAGAAGTTGCTGTCAGTTTCCACACAAAAATAAATGATTGTGTCTTATTCTTCTTAAATTGGTAGCCTTGAATTTTAGAATTATTAATATAGAGCAATTTGTCACAAACTTATACTCCTGTATATAAATTATATAATTTATGCAGTATAACTTAAAATATAATTTTAATACTTTATGTAAAATTACATTTTAATTTATAAATATATAATTCAGTTATAAAATTACATAAAATAATTGTGTATTTATATACTCATCTACACCCTTAGATGTTCTCTTTAGGAGGAGCATATTACATTCCCCAGAATACCCTGAATCTAAACCATTTTTACATTTGGGTGTTTGCTATTCTTCTATGTTAATACATTTGGTGGACATAGGCGTTATCTAGAACATGTTACTGGGTACTTCCATTGTACCACACTACCATGCATCTTGAGCTTTTGTGTGCTTTACTAATTTTGAACACTGATTTAAAAAAAATTAAAGACAATTTGCATTTTTGCAGATTTCGATAGTGATTGATGGTGGAAAGAAAGTGGTAGAATTTATGTTCCAAGCTGCTGAGGGAGATATGTTGAACTACGTTTTTAAAAATCGAGAACTCCGTGCTTTGTTTGATCGTCAGTGGCATAAACTTGGCGTCAGTGTACAATCCCGAGTCATTTCTCTCTACATGGACTGTAATTTAATTGCAAGTCGGCAAACCAATGAGAAGGACACTGTAGATTCTCATGGAAGGGCAGTCATCGCTGCACGAGCTTCAGATGGCAAGCCTGTGGATGTAAGTTGTGGTGGTAGTTGTAGAAGAGAGCTAACACCATTTCTAAGTTAAAACAAAGTATCTTATTCAGAATGTCTTCGTTTCATTACTATGTAATAGACCTTCTTCTTATCTCTGTTTAGCATGCTATCAAATGCAGGAAGGATAGCTGTATTCCAACCATTTTTTCACATCATTATCTTCTATTTTACCCATTTATTCTAGCTAGCAAACATAAAACAGTTTGGTTATCTCTTACAAAATAAGATTGCTAAAAGTAAATTTTAGGAAAAATTGAAAATATGATACAAAATGTAAGCTTGGTTTAAACCCGTATGTTTTTAATAAAAAGGACTAGAAAAAGATGAACTTTAAATAGTTCCAGATTACCTGGTGTTTTCATTCAAGAACAATAGGTCATTTATTTATACTCACAATAGCAATTGTATTGTATTGCAGACTATTTTCCATAACTTATAATGGTTTTGGGGGGTTCAGTTAGGCAAAAATATAGTTACTAAGTATATAAGTAGGTCATTCAGATCAGCAAAATTGACTAGGAAAACTCTTTCAGATGAGAAGTTCTTTTAAAAAATTACATTTGAAATTAAGATGATGTATATTTATTATTTATTTTCCTAGAAAACAAGGTCTATAATCTTTTTAAAGTGAGATATACCTAAATTTGATAGGTAAATGTTTTATTGCAGGTAGAATGATAGGAAAATACATAAAAATCTGAATGTCAATTACCAATAATAAATACCAGAGCTGTTAACCCGAAAACACTAACAGTGAAATTTTATTTTACAAATATGGCTTTGTGCAAATATGATTTGGCCAGATTACTATTTCTAAAGACCTTTTGGGAAGGATGAATAATAGTATAAACTATTATTTTTAAAATACTTTCTCTTCATTGAACCAATCTAAATTTTTTATGGTTATAGGAATAGTCCCCAACTAGAAATGACCAAGCCCGGTAGAACCAACTGCTTAAATTAGGACAGGCAATAACTATAACATTTTTCCATAGAACTCTCTAGAAGACCTAAATTTACTGACAATTTGGAATTGCTTTAACCTTGTATTCTAATTCAAATTAATTATGTTAAAAAATGGCCTAAAGAAAAATAACAGAAATGACTTTAATCACTGTTCTCTTTTAGACAATCTACTTTCTCCGTATTTTAAAGGCAGTTGTCTTTACAGATTGTTCAAGAATCTGTATTTTTACTCATAAGAGTTGGAACTATCTTTCAATTATGCATTTCTACCTTTGCTTTTTTTCTTGTACCTCTAAGACATGCTCTTTCTCCTTGGACCCTTTTTGTTAGTCTGCCTCTGCTCCCTTTGCCTGAGAGGCATATCACAGTTATCCCAGTCATCCATAGGAAAATTTTAGAGTTCAGTAGGAAATGTGCAAGTTTAGGAGGGAAAATGGGCAGGCAGTTAGTGATTTGGATAATGTGCATGTTGATGTCATCACATTTAATTTGGATATAATTGCAAACATTAAATATAAGAGTAATACTGGTTGGCTTTGCATTACTTTGCTTTACTTCTATGCAAAAGAAAAAGTAAAAACAAATAAAAAGTAAAGAAATAAAAATAAAATAAATACTTTCTCATGGAGACAGTGGGTAAGCAAGTCAGCAAGACTGTCCTAACTAGGGAAGAGTGATGACCAGCAAAACAGGATAGAGCAGATGCAGCCCACCTTACGGTCAAGACACCATGACAGTAGGGAGAGGGAGCTGGCATGGGAGTCAGAAGAATTTGTAAATCATAACTTGGCTACCTAACCTGTTGTGATCTGTTAATTTATTTAACCAGCTGTTCATTCATCTGAGCCCTAGTATCTTCAATTATAAAACGGAACTGGCGGAGTTACTAGTTGTAATTGTATAGGGTCTGTGCAGTAGTGTCTAATCAGCTTCTATAGATTCATTTATCTATTCAGGGCCAGACAGCATTTAACCCTATTATAAGAAGATGGAAAAAAATAAACAAACAAAAAACTACTGCTCCTATTCTCAGCAACCACAAAGGCTAAAGAAGGACTAAAATCTGTCAGTAAAGGTGGCTGCTAACAATATTATTATTGATCATAATAACAACAGTAGTACAGATTATTGAGAAAGGACTCTCCAAAAGTGAAAGGAGGTAGTAGGACCAGCAGCCAGAACATCAGAGTTGTGACTTTCAGCATAGGGGGTCTAGGTAGAGAGCAAGTCAGCTCTGGGAGTTCTCACAGCATTAGTGGGGAATGACAGCTAGCATCTGCTTCAAGTACAGACTGGAATCTGGTCTCTTACCAGACTAGTAAGAGCAAAGTACGCTCAGGTTCCTGAGGATCTGGGAGAACCCAAAAAGCAAACAGATAAATTCATGTTTGAGAGGGGTGGCAGAAAGAGAGGGGTGAGTTCATTCAAGAGTGGGAATACCCTTGAAAGTAACTCTCTGAAGGTGGAGTGTTCTGTGTCTCATAAACTTCTTGCCCAAGGAAATTATTGACCCCAGAACTTAAGGCTGAAGGTTATCAGGTGTGTCCTTATAAAAATGACACAGTTTAAAAGATTTTAGCACAGTATTATGGTGATTTCATACTTCAGTGTAGATTCTTTGTTCATTTGAGGATAAACGTGAAGACAAGTCACAAGATAGTCACTGTTTGAATTAACAGCAAAATACATGCAGATCCATTTAGAGATTCTTGGTCGGTCCTACACAAACTGAGTGGATTAATGTTTCATCATCCCCAAACAAGTTCTATGATTTATAAGAAGAGTTGTAGTATGAAATATCTTACATATTCAAATGTATGTTACCAAAAATTCTAATGATTGGGTTTTATATTGCATATATTATACATGTGCTTTTTTAAGAAAGAGATGACAAATGTGATAGAAAAGAGTTTTTAAAGAAATCTTCAATTTGACAAGAGTCAGTATAGACTCAACTCTAAACACTTTCCTTCTAAAGTGCTGTGTCAATGAAGTATTTTAAGGTTTCTAACAAATGCAGAAAGCAGTTAAACTAGGGTGATTGTAGGCTCGATGTCATGGGTACTCAATTAAATGCTAATCCTTTGGAAATTGAAAATATGTTTTAAATAAAATAATTCATATGTAGGGCCAAGCATAGAATTTCAATATTTATTGGGTCTTTTTGATAATAATGATGATAACTTTTAGCTATGAACAATATTAACTAATTGGAATCCCCATGCTTCATTCTATGTAACTTGTATGTTACTGCCAATATTTCATTAGGTTAAGACAGTGTACTTAAATTTTATAAGTAAAACTTAACCTAGTAACTTTGTGAAAAGTCATTGAAAGGAAATCATGAAATTTCACTTATTCAGAGTTTTACATTACCTGCAAATCTTCAGCTGCTCATGATATGCAAGAGATCTGGAATTCCTACACTTCTAATCTCAGTAGAAGTTGTAGCTTTTTTTCCCCTCCTTTTTGCTTTTTATGGTATTAAGATAGAAATTCACAGCTAACCACAGATGTCTGCTTTCTCTTACCATAATAATAATTATTATAACATTATAATTTGGTCTTTGTATAGAAAGTGCTTATTAATTAATCTCAAAGTATGGCATAGTCAAGCTCTTTTACACTGGGAAATAGAGAAAGATAAAGAAAAGAAAAAGAGAAAGAGGCAAAGGGGAGGAAAGGGGGAGGGGGAGAAGAAGGGGGTAAGTTCCTGACCCATGTTAGTCATCAAGTTAACATACAATTAACTGTTAATTAAATTCTTAAATTTGCAACCACAAACTTATTTCAAGGTTCCAATCAATACCTACTTGTATAAAGCACTATATAATACAACATTTCAGAGGTTAAGGAGTTTGAACAGCCTAGTTAAGCATTTATCATATTGATATTTTATCAATAGTAAATACTGTAAGTACTATTTACCTTTCCTTGAACAATCATTTTGGCATCTCATTTAAAGACATGATTATTTAATTTCATGTCCAATTTAAAAATATGAATCTGCTTTCTAGCAAATAGAGGTTATCGAGTGTTTTGTTTAAAGATTGTGAATCATGCTTAGGATTCAGTAAAATATAACTTCCCTAGGTTTAAACAGAATTCATGAAACATAGATAAAAACTAAATATCTTATTTCCTTATTGAGAATTATGCATCTATTTCTGTGCCTCAAATAGTCTGGAACTGCAGATAAAGTCTTTTCTGTCACATGCTTAGACTTTTGACTTCACTTTTTCTCTGAAATTTTTACTTTGAAATGTCCCCATTTTGTACACATACTTTATTGTAGTGTATAGAAATTTCTTTCTTTAATCAAATATTTCTTTTTTTATTGCTTAAGACAATTAGTCAAGATTTGGAATTGCTTTCATTATCTAATTTCCTTTGTCTATAGGTCTGCCTCTGTATCTGCCACTATGTTTGTTTCTCAGGTGGTCCTTAAAGCAGTGAATCCTAAATTAAACAAAACATTAAAAAGATCTACCTGTACTTTACATTAGCTTCCTTTTCTTTCTAGTTAAATTACCTTAGATCTTTCTGCTTAAATGTGATTCTCAAAAAAACTAATATATATATATATTGCTACTAATTTTTTTAATAGATTGAACTTCACCACCTTAATATCTACTGCAACACAAACTTCTTAGCTCAAGAAACATGTTGTGAAATATCATCTACTAAGGTAGGTTAATTTTCTTGGCATGTTATATAAGAAGAAAGCTAGTTATCTCTTAGTAGCATAGTCTGTAGATTCTAAATGTAGGGCAGTGCCGAATATCTTCTGTTGAAGCCCTATACTCAATTTTTGACAAACATGAAAGCCTTCTTAGTGTTTTCCCATAGTTTTCAAAATTTCATTCCCAGAGTTGGAGATTGACATGTTGGGGTTGATACATCCTCACTTTATATTCAGCATTACTAGAAGAGAATTTATGCCTTTCTCCCTATACTATGTTCTGATAGTAACTTCATTATTTTCTACTTAAGAAGTTTTAAATTTTTAGTAAGAACTTAAATCTCACTCATTTCCCTTTTCAAGCCTGCCACCCATTGTGTTAGTAGCTGGAGTTTTCTAGAAGAAAAGGACCAGTTGGTTTGTTCCTTAGATAGGCTTAAATGTCGAAGGCTAGATAGTCCAACCATACTGTCTGCACACTGGAGAGCTAGAGAACCTGGTAGCTGCTTGATCCAAGAAGCTGTAAATGTCAGAACAATGGGTACTGATGAAATAACCCCAAGCTGAGGCTGAAAACCTAGAAATTCCCTGGAGAGTCATTGGTGTGAGTTCAATTTGAAAGGCTAAGCTTAGAGTCTGATACCCATAGGCAATGTCAACAGTAATAGATGCACTCCCTCAGGGAGCGTACAGTTTGCACACACTAACTGGCTTCCTTCTTTCACTTTTGTTTCATCTGGGCTCCCAGGACAGATGATTGGACAGTGTCACCCATATTCAGGACAGGTCTTTCCCTCTTAGTTGCAGATAAAGACAGCATCTCTAGAAATGCCCTCATAGACACACCCAGAAGTATGCTTTCCTAGTCTAGTCATCTCTCAATCAAATTGGCAGTGGTTAACCACCACATCCTTCCTGGCTTGTTTTCCTTCATGATGCACATTATACTCTACCTTCTTTTTTCCCCAGCTATTGCCAAAGTCCACTTTACTTCATGCCTGGACTTTTGTGCCATCACATCAACTGCCTTTCCCATCTCCTGTGTAACCAGAATAAGTTTGTGAATCACTACTTTGTATATTCATTTACTTTTTCACAGCAAATATTTATTATTCAAAAAACACTGTTGTTCTAGCCCCATGCTACAGAACTAACAAACATGGATATGTTCCTAATCCATCTTTTTTCTCAAAGCCTTAGGTCATTCCCTGTTTGTTTGTAACAAAATACAAGTCCAGTTCCTTAGTATTGCATTGTAAGTATTCTCAACCTAACTGTACAACTATTACTTTCTTATACCTATATTTCATTCCAACGAAAATAATGGATGCAATACTTCTATATCTCTCATTTTGGTCATGTGTACCCTCTTGCATTATTAGATACAATTACATTTGTTTTTAATTTATTCAAATACAATTTAGACCCAGAGAAGGAAGTTGCTTTACATTTGTACTCTTAATCTAGTGCTTTGTTTTAGTATGTAGCCAAGCATTATTTCTTGACTTGCTCACTTGTCAACTACTAAAGGAAAGGTATTTGAAAGGGAGTAATTCTAAAAAGCTTACCAAAAGAACATACGAAAAGTACAAGATGAAAAGTTCTTTTCCTTTGAATCTTAATTTCCTAGAAGTTCTGCCTTTGCCAAGAAAATTATATGAAAATTTAATCAATAATTTTTGCTTCAAAATATTTAACTTCTCTCAGGTACTTTGGGTAGTAGAACAGGAATATATGCAAGTGACTCAAAATATAGCAGTCTTTCAAATATTATATGTTTTGCTTGTGTAACTTGGCTATATAAAGCACATCTCCAACCTAGTTTATGGCTCTCATTCCAAGTAAAATGAAAGTCAGCCAAATATCTTTCTATAAATATCTAAAGAGATAATTTAGGATGCCAATCTACAGACTTGAAATACCAAGACTTGCTGGAGCCATACATTTAAATCTTGAAGATATTATTCTGCCAAAAACATCTAAATTAATTATGTTTATTTACTGTAAGAGCTCCTAAAATAATAGTTTTATTTGATTGAAAAGTAACATAATGACATTTGATATATGTAAATATTATGTTCTTGAAAAACAGCCACTTCCCTGTGTCATTACATTAGACATTCCAACCTGAATAATGAAAAAAGACTGCTTAAGTATGTCTAAGTGATGGATTGGATGAAGTGTTCTAGTAATTAAAAGCAGTGACATAAGAAAATAAAAGCAGTGACATGACCACACACATTGTAAACTAATTTTAAAAACCAAGTTTTAAAAAGATTATTTAGGAATTAGTTTCAGAATAGAAAATGAGCTAGGAATTTATCCCAACTATGAAAAAAAGTAACCGTGGCTCAGTCTTTCTGAGTTCCATCCACGCTAATGTTCTGTCTTTCTTTACTTAACTTCTTTTCTGCCTGCCAAAAAACGTAACCAAAACCTTTATTTTTCATGCTGATAATTATTTGGCGTGGGGGGCACACATCACCATCAGTGATTAAAGTAAATAGAAGCACACTATATTTCACAAACAAATATGTAAGACAAATAACTATATTAAAGCCTTTTAAGTGTCTTTGCTATACTTCTGATGTCAACTGTATTCTTTTCTTTTTCTTTTTTTGCAAAATGTCTTGAAATCAGAAAATTTTAGAGTGTCTGATTAAAACTCTAATTTTATCCTGGAATTTCAAATCATGCACATTAGTGCTAATATTTTGTGGAGTATTTTATAGGTAAAAGTTATTTAAGACAATCTATAGACATGCTTCTTCACTTCTATTAAATTACATTTTTAGTCTCTGAGTCAAATTTCATGACTGCAGGCATATGCTACAAGAATGAAGAATACAAAGAAGGAGATTGGGAAAACATTTGAAAATAAATGAGAAAAGTGGTTAAATATTTGAGGGTTAATTAACTATATACATGTCAAATCAAAACCAGAGGCATTTATGAGACAAGCTCTCATATGCTTGTTGTTGCCTTTGGGCACTTTTGGGGAGGTGCATAATTTTATAGTGAACTCTAAGACATAGTTTTAAAGTAGTTTAACCTCTAATTTAATTGTTAAATATCCAGGGCAAAAATGTGAATTCTAATAGGGTCCTAGTTATCAGACAGGAAACATCCGTGGCAGAATTCTGGGTGGGAAGTAATAAGTCATGTGGAATTATACTCTTGTTTTGGTGATAATTTTACTTATTTATATGTAGTTTTTAGACTTTGGTCTTGTAAATTTATTAAGATAACTAAATAATCCCTAAATATAGTGAGAGCAGGTATGAAAGAATGAGTAGTGCAGACAGGAAACTAGTCACTGTGTCTGGGTTCCAGATTGTTAGTTACCACAATCATTAGAGAACTATCCATTTTTCAAAATAGAATTGTTATTACAAAAGCTAGACATTGTTTATTTTAGAAAACTTAGAAAATATAGCCAAATACAAAAAAAGGAAATAAATATCAGTCAGGACCTTACACCACAGTTGTAATCACTGCCATATTTAGTTTTAAATCCTGAAAACACTTTTCCACATATATATGATTAGTAGATTACAAAGTACCCTGTGAACTCTTCCTCCTAATGCTTACCCTCCATTGAAACTGCAAACTCAGAGCTAATCACAATGAGGAGCCTGCTAAGTGATGTTGAGAAGAAAGGATGATTCGTGTATTATTCAGAGTCTCTATCTGGATTAAGTTTTAAGGAAAAAAAGAGTTCATTTCTTTGAAAACAAATTTCAGTTCATGTTGTCCAGCATATTCTAAATCCACTAGATAAAAAAACCCACCATTTGTTGTATGCTACAGTGGAGACCATCTTAATATGTTTAAAGGACACTGGACAAGAATAAGGTATATTTTGATTAAATAAATATCATCTTAGAGTATAAAAAGGAAGAGTTTTCTGCCTTACATGTCTTTACATTCATCTTGTGAAGTAACTGTCATTATATATTCAAATTTCATGCTTTTATTTTTCCCCTAAATATCTATTCACATTTGCTTATATAAATTATTTTATTGTAAAAGAGTAATTATTACAAATTTACAGTATCACTGCATTTACCATAAAGTCACCTAATATAGCTGTAGAATTCCTCACTAAAATCATCAGTGTTAATACATTACCTGTGTGGTGTTGGTGTGATTAAACACACTGGGTGCTCAGTGATAGAGCAAGGTGTGATAAATTTTCACACACAGATGTCAGTGTTCCATTAATAAGAAGGAAATTCTTGCAGGCAACCAGCCATTTCTAGCTTGTTAAGAGTAAGCATTTAAAATTGAAGTCATACCTTTAACTTTCCCTTTTTTGGGTTTTAGTGCCCAGAGCAGGATGACTTTGGAAGTACTACATTATCATTGACGACTGCTCACGATGGGAAAATTTCTCCCTACTTGCCTGCAAAGCTGGAACTTAAAGACCTGTGCCAGTGCATTCCAAACAAGGTATACTAATTTTAATCTGTATTCCCTGAAAAGCCACTCCAGACAGTTGAGCCAGGCTCATTCATTTTGGTCTCTAGTGCACTGAATGTGTCTTCTTGTCCTTTGACGCTAGTTGACAAATTCACAAAACCACACAGTCATCACCAGAGTGAGTCATCAAAAGAGGTTTGGTGATAGGACTTCTCGGATTTTTACCTAGACAGTTCTGAGCCCATCTGACCTTCTTTCCAGAGTGTAAATTAGAATTAATAAAAAGGTGAAGGGAGGAACCACCTATACAGGCAAGTACTGGCTACTTAGCATGTGTTAGGAATAAGCTGCAGTCTGGGAACTCTGTGTGATGACAGAGTTCAATAAACACTGTGTGATGACAACTGTTTCTGTCCAGTAGCCCCAAATTTCTAACCAGCTGTCTCTCTTCTCCATTTGTCACGATTGTGTTTGGGGAGGGGAAGGTATGCACATAATTTGTTTCACCCGAACCAATGTGGTCCTGTGGTCAGGGAAGCTGGGCCCATGGACCTACGTGAACTTATTTTGTGGGTATTCATGGCCATTATGGGGCCTGTGCTAAAAGTAGGCAGTGTTCCTCTAGTGATAACACTGCATAGTAAGCTCCATGAAAAAGACAAGTACAGGTAAGGGAAAGGGATGGAAGTAGGGGAGCAGCTTTTGTTCCACCCATGGGAGGTCAGCTGGAGGTGAGATGCTGAATGGTGTTTGGAAGGGTCAGGAGTAGTGTGCCTCATGAGTGAGGGCAGAAAGGCTTCCCTATGAGGGATGGACATAGCTCAGAGAACAAAGCTTTAGCTTATTCTTGGCAGTTTCACATGTATGTACAAATGGCTCTTGATTAAAATGTATATACAAATGGCAGAATGTTTGCTAACACAGAAATTGATTTTTGATCAGGGAGAAGCAGGATTACCAGGAACTCCAGGATCAATTGGGCAGAAAGGAGAGAAAGGACAGCCGGTAAGCCACATGCAACAAAATACTATTGGGACAAAAGGGGTTGTTCAGAAGTGTATTAAAAGATGTGTCCATATCCTTTTTCCATACAAATGCATGTTTCTGTAAAAGACTGTCAGGGACTATATTAAGATGTTGGTTGCTGAAAATTGAGAGTGTATCAGCATTCAAATCTGCTTTTGAGTTCATGTTCAAAGACTGGTATGAAATTTGGAAAGATATAGAGCTGCAAGTCTTTTTATCTATCAGCTCTAAACAAAACTGTGAAGGAGGTCTCTTTTTCAATTGTTCCTGGGTTTCTTTAGCATTGTCTTCTCCAAATGCCTGATGAACTGTTATTTCTCCTTTCTACTGACAGTTTCTCACTAAGGATTTTTCAATAGCTAACCTTTGTTCAGTATCTTCTGTGGGAGGCATGTTGCTGGATATTTAGGGGCTATAAATAAGGATTGGATACGTTCTTTGTTCTCCAGGATGTTAAATCCAAGGAGATAAAGGGACATTAGAAAGCCATACATGTTAGATGCTACATGAGAGTCGCAAATGTGCTGAGAGAACAACCTGGGGAGATGGAGAAGAATTTAATGGAGGAGATGGCGAGTGAGCTGGACCTCTAAGCACTCAGTCCTAAGCAAGATCCCATGTCTAGGGGGTTGGCTTTCCCTTGTCCCCACCTCAAACTTTCATGCTTTCCATTCTTTTGAATCATGTCTTTTGTTAACTAATGAAGTAAGTTAATTTGTACTATGGTTAGTAGTTCATCATTGTTATTTTTCCAAGGTGAGACAGGTTATAATTCCTTTTATGCCATAACTTAGACTGCTGTAATTCTAAGGTATTTACATAATCTAATAGAACTTCATTTTTTTTCCAATATTAAGGATTGAACTAATGATCTCATACTTGCTAGCCAAGTGCTGTACTATTTGAGCCACGCTCCTGTTGAGTGTGCATCACTATGTTCACCCCTTGTTGGACTTCTTTGTTAAAATACAAGAAATTTAATTTTAACAGATTGATGACAACTCAGAGCTTCAACAAAATTATAGTAATTTGAATCTTGGAGGAATGTCTGCCCATTGTACCATGCATGGGAACATCTGGCACCTCAGCAACTTTTGGAAAAGAGATTTTTGAGGTGAAACAGGGCATTTATGATTTATTTAGACCATAGTTATTGAGATACCATTGTTTTTAATGTCATTCTATAAAAATCCAAAAATAATTAAACAAGTAGTATGAGGCCTACTTCAATCAACTGAACATACAAGTCATTATAGCATTAGTATTTATTTAGTGCTTACCATCTGTCAACCACTGAGAAGAGTGCTTTATATGTGTCTTTTTATTCTCATAATACTCTTCATGTTAGGAATTAGTCTTATCATTTTACATATGAAAAATCTGAGGCTCGAGGAGGTTAAATTATTGCTGATGGCCATATAGCTTGAGCACACATTGAAGTCTGAACTCAAGTCTCTGAGCTCCAGTGACTTTCTTTTAACCAGTATTCATTTTGAAAGCTGCTTTATATTCTAAAAGGATTTCAGGGACAGGTGTGGTGGCACAGGTTGTAATCCCAGCTATGTGGGAGATTTAGATAGGAGAATCATTGTCCGAGGCCAGCCTTGGGCAAAAAAATACAAGGCTCTACCTGAAAAACAACTGAAAGTAACAAAGGGATGAGGTATAGCTCACATGGTAGAATACTTGCCTAGCAAGCCCTGAGTTCAAACCCTAGTACCACCAAACACATGAATAAAAATAAATGAGTAAAAGGATTTCAGTATTATTTACCTGTGTTCCATGATCGTTCTATGATTCTATCTTATAATAATTTATTCTTATAACCTCATAAAGAATGTCAACTTAATATTTTTATCCTTATCTTTTGGCTGAGAGAACCATGCATAGGTAAAATGATGGGCCCAAGGTAACACAATTCAGAGGACTCAGAGTAGAATAATCTCTGGGCTAATCCCAGCTCTGCTTTGTTCAGCTGTGTGAATTTGGCTAAACCACCAGTCTCTAGGTGCTTTACTTTTCTTATCTGTGAAGAAGGGGGTCAATCTGTTCTGCCTACATCATTAGGTGACACAAAAATTCTTTGAAAAAGTGTGTGGCTTAATTGTTGGTGATTGTTTTGTGATACATATTCCTTAGCTCAGCTTTTCTGTTCTTTGATTTACCAGTTCTACCATATTTGAGATTGCTGGCACAGGGCGAAATTCCATTCAATAACCCATTAGTGTAGACCTTTTAAAGACATAATTTCCTCTCTATTCTCTTTAAGTAAATGCTTCCTACTATATCTAAATATCTATTTTTGTTAAATTTTTGGTGGGGCTGGGGTTTGAACTGGGCTTCGCACTTGCAAAGTAGGTGCTCTATCACTTGAGTCATCCCTCCAGCCCTCTGTTTTTATTAATTTCATGCATTCATCAACAACAATTATATATTGAGGACTTAATATTATAACAAAAACTGTGCCAGTTGTATAGCAGTAACAGTAACAAGAAAGCACAGGACCTGACTTCACTGGGTTTTATAATCGAGGGACGGTTTGTTTAAGGAACATTCTTTTCCATTAGAAAAGGAAAAGGAAGAAACTAGTAAAGATAATAAAACTTAGAAAATGTATTTCATGTCAAATGTGTAAAATACAAAAATGTGTCTTGCAGTTATATTGTTATATGACTTCCATCTGTATTTTTTTAAATATTAAAATTTGTTTTAAATTTCAAGATTCATAATCATAAGAGATTTTAGTGGTAGAGTAAAAACAGATGAGTTTAAATAAATTGATAATCCTCAAAACAAAGCAAATGATAATTTGTTTAAATTTTTTTCAGTACATGTATCATCATTTAATTACAGCATAAAAATGAGTCCAGATAATCGTGGCCGAGAATGAAGTAAACTTTCCTGTTATAATTAACACAGTGGACTATTTAATTTTAAGCAGTTGATGATGACTCTCTTCCTGTTCCCATTATACTATATGATCCTACAACTTTAATGTGCAAAAAGTAAAGAGGGCTTTCCTTAGGCTTTGATTCTGGCACATAAATTTAAATTATCTGCATAACTTGATTGTTGACAGTCATTTTGTTCTTGGACATATTGAACAGTTAATTTTGTGAACGGTCAGAAGTACAGAGTTACTAAGGGAACCAGATATTATTCTAAGGTTTTCTTTTTCATCTTCCAAGAAAAAGACAGTATATTAGAAAAAGTACCACTTCGCAGCCTGAAACACTTAGGATTGAATTCTGTCCACCTCTTAGTGTCTTTGAAATAAATCCTTAATAGTCAATGTCTGATTGAAGAAGAAATTCAATATAATGTATGTAAAGCACATACGAACAGAAACTGGCACATTATAGATGGCCAACAAATAAGTTTTTTCTCTGATCTCTTTTCCACAGTGTAATTGTTCATATATTGAAGGAGAGGCGAAAAGAGTCCTTTTAAGTTGAGATAATTTTATATGTGAATTGATCAAAAACAAAGGCATATTCATTTATGGATAATACCTTAGAATTTTCAGTTGAATATGCATTTTAGTGTATTAAAATCCCAGATAGTTATATGCTACTTGTAGTAAATATTAATAGTTGATGGATAGTTTAGTTCTTCCAAAGATCAATGATATGGATATTGAACTCTATGCTTTGTTCCCAATAATATCTGACCTTTTCTGGATAGAGTATATTTGTGTTGAAAAGATTGCTTGCGTGGTCATACTTTGATGATGTGAATCGGAAGCAGTTCAGGCACTATAATAATTTGCTTTTTTCTGATTTGCTGTAAGTTGGTAAAATGTTCATGCATTTTACTTTTGGCCCAACAGAATAAAATGAGAAAACCTTTTGAGAATACTAATTTCAAATCTCTTTTTAAATTATGTATCAATCACTAAATTTTTCTAAAGGTGTTAAATTTTGAGAATTGTTATTGTAGCAGCAACCTTATAAAGAACACTGAGTCAGATAACTATTCCGAATAATCATGTTGGTAAATCCTGATTTAAAACTTGAGGTAAAACCCACTGATGACTTGCTGTCTTCCTTAACACAGCCCCTGAACCTCTGACCAGACAGCTGTTCACAATATGTAGAGCTTTCCCTATTCACTTCCCACTCCCTGTATTGTCTCCTACCTTCTCCCTTTGACCATTCCTGCTTCACGTTCTCTGCACAAGGTCATGTAAATGAGGAAGATTTTTCTGGAATCTGCTTGATTTTTTCCTCACAAGAATTAGGTCCTTGAGATATCAGATGTCTTCTGATATAAAACACAGGTTGCCATCCCACTTCTATTCTCTTACTCTTCTTAGAACTTTAAAAATTGCAACTTGATACATTATTATGCATCTATATATTTTCCTATTAGAATATGAGTTGTGTGAGCTCCATACACAGAACAACATATAATAGCAACTAAAAAAATGAGTGAGCGAATGAATGAATACTGTATCTCAAGGACAGTATAAATCATTAACTCATCTGTTTCTCCAGCCTGTAAGTTCTACTCCCCAATTACCCAGGAGATTCTGCCCCAGAAGGCAGAGTCAATTTTTAAGGAAAACTAGATAAGATAATTTTAGAAAAGTGTTCTTATATTATTCATTACTGTCCTGCTATACTTTTCCATTTAAAAAAACCAAAGTCTTCATGTATTGATCTGATCAATTTTATCTTGATATTTCCAACTAGATAATAAAAAATTAAACATTTAGAACTAAGTCCCAAGTTTTAGCATGATTTACTGTTTATTATTATTTTCATCCATAGTATGAAGTTCATTAATGTGATTTACTATTTTCTTTTTTTTTCCTTTATTGTTGTGCTGGGTGGGGTTGCATTGTGGCATTTACATTTACAAACATTCTTACAGTGTATCAAATATATCATGTTTGAATTCACCCCCTCTACTGCTGTCCTTCATCCCCCCTCCCCCAATTCCTGGAAAAGTTTCAACAGGTATCATTTTTGCTTTAG